TAAGGAGCATTACAGTTAGCACACATAATGTAGTCAGGGTGGGCACGGGAAAGGCAGTATAGCACAGAGAAGACAAGTAGTGACTCTATAGAATCTTACTATGCTGATGGACAGTGACTGTAATGGGGTATGTGGTGAGGACTTGATAATGGGGGGAATCTGGTAACCACAATGTTGCTCATGTGATTGTATATTAATGATACAAAAAAAAAAGATATATTCAAGTCCTAACCCCTGGTACCTGTGAATGTGACCTTATTTGAAAATAAGGTCTTTGTAGATGTAATATAGTTCAGACCAGTTCATGCTGAATTAGGGTAGCCCTTACTCTGATATGACTGGTATCCTTGTAAGAGGCTGAGGAGAGATACAGACAAAGACACATTTGAAGACAGACAGAAATTATGTTGATAAATCTAAAAGCCAAGGAATGTCAAAGACTGCCAGGAAACCATCAAAGGGTAGGAGAGAGGCCTGGATCAGATTCCCCTTCACAGCCTTCAGAGGAGCCACCCCCGCTAACACCTTGATTTGGACTTTCAGCCTCTAGAATTATGAGAGGATTAATTTCTGTTCTTTTAACCACCCAGTTGCGGTGCCTTGTTATGGCAGCCCTAGAAAACTAACACAGTTACAACTCAAACCTGCTTACTCAATAAGAAAATGAGCATCTCCTAAACTTACAAGTACAGAATTAAGGGGTTCCTAGTGATATTTATGTGAGGTATTGAGATTAGGCTCAATTGCAAGGGTCAGAAACCCTTCAACAGTGGCTTACACAATATGTACATTGGATTTTATTTTTCTCTCATGTAGGCAGTGGTATTCCAGGGTTAGTTGGTATGATGGCTCTATCATACCAGGGATTGAGGATTCTTCTCACTGTCATCCTCAACAGGGCTTCTATCTCATGGTGTGAAACCTAGCCTAATGTCTGGCTTCTATCCATCAGGAAGAAACAAGAGCCAGCATGCCTGCTCCCTTCCTTTCAGAATACATTCCGGAGTTTTGTACTGGATGCCTCTGCCCACAGCCCGATGTCCAGAATTTAGTCACATGACCATTCTTACCGGCAAGGGAAGCTGTGGCATATAATCTTTATTTCAGGAATCTGTGGGTCTACCTATTTATTACTAAAGTAGAAAGAGGAGATCTGATATCAGGAAACAACTACAAGTTTCTTCCACAGGATGTCTGTAGAGGAATGTCACAAGCTTATAGGTGATTGGATATAAGAGACTTGAGGGGAAAAAAATCAGATCTGGAAATAAAGTTTTGAAAGTGTGTAAATATTAGTTACAATCTTGAGGGGGGTGATAAGGCCTGGTGAGAGTATAGAGTGGGAAGAAAAGGTTAAGGAGAGACCTGTAGGGAACCCCAGAATTTAATTATACAGAAGGATTTGATATGGTTCTAAGAAGAAAAGGTGAGGTGTTTCGATGGTTATTCAGGACACATTTTAAGGATAGAGTGGTAAACAGTGGAAATGGGGGAAAGATGCTAATTAAGATAAAGAACTGTCTCTTTAGAATGTAAGAAGTTATGATTGTCCTGTCTCAAAATCATAAGGTACCCTGAGTCTTTTTTTGGAAGGAGACTTGTGTGACTGCATGACTTCTGGAATCTGAAATGTGTGTAAATCCCAGTGTAAGGATGTTATGGTTAATTTGGATTCCAGGCTGATGAAGATACAGCTCCTCACCCCTTCCTCAGTGAAGCACAATATCCCACCTGAACAGCGGGGTCACTTGCTATCTTTGTCACTATGGTCAAGGGGCTTGGGACCATAGGAGTCCCTGGAATAGAGAGAATGGAACCCAGCTGGAAGGGTCATAGGACTAAAGGTTTAATCTTTGCCTTTTGTCTGGGAAGGAATCAACATGAACACAGAAGTAGATGCACACATGTGCACTAGGAGATAGATAAGAGCATGTTAACTGAAGTAATGCATGTGATTGCTAAGACTGGGAACAGCCCAAGCATCCATCATGTAGATTTATACAGAGAGAGCAGATAAATGACTTGTTTTGTAATCGTTCAATGGAATTTATCTGCAGATAAAATGAATAAAGTATATCTGTGTGTATCAACATATGCAAAAACAACATTGAGGGAAAACAAAACATATTACAGCATTAAAGTAGTTATATAAATTTAAAAGCCACATAAAGCAATACTGTATCATTTTATGTGAACTTAACAAATACAGGGTAGGCACAAAAATATGGGCTGGGTGGGTATTTCCCAAATTCATAGGAATGGATGTCTCTGGGGAGGAAGTTCCAATCCTGGAAAGGAGTGGAAAAGACAACCAAGGGGATTTCAACTTCATTCATATTGTTCTATTCTCTTATTAAGATTTATTTGAAGCATATGAAAGGGTGGCCAATTTAATTACTTATTAGGGAAATGTAAATTAAAGCACAGGAAGAAGAAGAGGAAAAAGATGGCAGTCAGATACTAGGACCAGAGTGGCTAAAATTAACACATCTAACAGTATCACATGTTGACATAAATATGGAGCAACTGGAATTCTCATACACTACTGGGAGTATAGATTCATTCACCCACTTAGGAAAGCTGTTTGGCAGTATCTTTGAAAGCGATCCTGTGATTCTTACATTCCATGCCTAGATGTAATTCCATGAGAAGTGTGCTGAAAGAAATGCACAAGGCTGTTCCTAGAAGCTTTATTTATATTAACAAATGATTAGAGATATCAAACCAATGTGGTCATTCCACTTCCATATATCTATCCTGGAGACTCTTCATCATGACCACAAGGACACAGGTGCAAGAATATTCATTGCAGCACCGCTTGTAGCAACAGCAACGAAATAACAGCTCAGATGTTGTAAAGGTAGAAGGAACTCATGGACATTGTGTTAAGCAAAAGAAGCCAGATATAAAAGAATACATATAATATGTCTTTGTTTAAGGAGTTTTAGAATTGTTTAAAATTAAACCAATTTCAGGTGATAGAATTCAGAATAGGACTTACCATAGGGATTACTTACAGGTGCTAGTGCCTGGAGAATGGCACCTTCTGGGATGAGAAAATGCTATATCTTGATCTGGATAGTAATTACACAGGGAAACATTTAACAAACTTCATACTTAAGATTTGCAGACTTGTTATGTGTAAGTTGCACCTCAAAAAATATCAGAAGCAAAAATAACAAAATGTTAACAGGTTCTCAGTGGTGAGTTCCACAGAATGCTATTTATCTAATTCTCTATATTCTCCTGTATATTAAAGTTATATTTATGATTAGGAAAGAGAAAGAGAGCAGTAGTCCTCTAGAAACCAAAGTGCCACCGATTGTAGAGGAGGTGACACTCTGAGGTGGGGTCCCTTGCCCAGCCATCTCCCCAGTGCCTGGGTGAGTCCCCTTACAATGGGGTGCAGCTCTGCTGCTGGAGAGAAAGTGATCTGCATTGTCATTCTCTCAGTGAAGTGACATGGCTACTAAAAAGTGGGGCTGTTTTGTAGGCTCTTTTGAAATCAGCTTGGCAGATTCTTTAGCTGTTAGGGACCCTGAGCCATCAGGCATGAGCTGGGCTGGGATGTTCACCCCACCCTGCACCATAGCTCCCACCCAGGAGGGAGGAGACCTATGTTAGTGGGCAGCTCCTTGGCCTCGGATCCTAGATTGGTTGTTCCTCCATCACCAGAGAGTCAAAGAGCATGAGGGCAGGAAAGAGAGAAAAAAATAATTTAAAAGGGAGATGGGAAAAAGAAGCAAAAAGAGGTAAAATGAAAGATGCATACGCCTCCCTTGTTGCTTCACTGTCCTGGTTGTCTGCTCCCTTATGGGGAGCCTTTTCCTCCTGTCCATTCAGTTCTCCTCCACCTTGCATTATGGAGAAAGGGAGGATGTGGTGACACTCGAAGTGGTTCTGAAACTCGACAGACCTGTTTTTTCATCACTACCTGCTGGCAGGCTACCTAACCTCTCTGCCTCAGTATCCTCACCTGGAAAACAGGCAGCAATTCCCCCTCTCAGGGTTTCTGTGCGGAGCTGGAAACGGTGCATGCTAAGACTGACCCAGGCAACCCTTGATAACCTGGGTAAGAAGCCAGCCTTTCCTCTGAGCCAGTTTTGTGGGTCAGAGACCCTGGCAGCCTCGTCCAAAGAACTCTGTGCCATGATGACTGTTGAGCACTTGCTCTGTGTCTGGTGCAATGAGGGACTGAATTTTTCACTTTATTCTATTCTAGCTGCTTTACATTTAAATAGCCACGTGGGGCTAGCCGCTACAGCCTTGGGCAACTCACGGCCACGATGGATCCCCGCCAGGCGGCTGGGCAGGGCACCCCTTATTTCGCGTGGACACTCAGGGGCGCCGGTACGCGCTGCTTCTACGCAGTCATTTCTTCCCTCAACAAAAACCTGCGAATGCAGTCGGGGCTGGCGTCAGCGCCCAGCACGTTAAGTCCCGGGCGCGCCGGAATGGCTGCAATTAAGGTTCGTAAACGCGTGGACTCCACGACGTCTGTCCCTGTGGCCCCCACCCTTTCCCCTCCGTCCGCCCACAGTCCTCGGGGAGGTGGGGTGCGACGCCGGTTTGGGCCTCCCGCGGCTTTCCGCTGCCTTCTTCTCAGCCGCCCGGGAGGCTCAGCATTTCCATTTCACAGAGGAGGAAACCGAGGCGCCGGGAGATGGAGAGCACGCGCAAGGAAGCAGCGGAGCTTCGGAGCACCCGCAAACTCTTTGGGGCTCCGGTGACGCCAGAGACAAGTTGGTGTGGCGGGCGGTGAGGGCGCCCAGGGAAAGCGGCGAGTAAATATTTGGGGCTGTAACCCGGGCTCCGGCACCGCCCCGTCACTGCGGTTCCCGGGCTGGCGCGTGGCGAGGGCGGCGCCCGGGCGACAGGGGCGTCCCCGGTGCGCGGCAGGGACAGACCCGGCGGCCGGGTCCCGCGGCCCCGCCCCGGCCCGCCTCCGCCCGCGGCTATAAGACGGCGGGGCTGGAGACGCGAGGCAAGGAGCGGGCGAGCGGGAGGCGCCGGAGGCGGCGGGACCGAGCGGGCGAGGGCGAGGCGTCCGCAGGGCGGGAGCGCGGGCGGGACAGCGACCCGGAGAGCCCGGACTCGACGGCGGCCGGGCGCAGCGCCCGTGGGAGCCCCCAGCCGCCCATGAAGCCTCCGGCCGCGCAGAGCAGCCCGGCGGCCGCCGCGGCCGCAGGTGAATGGGGGTCCCCTCGGTGCCCCGGCCCTGCCTGCCTCTGTCCTCCCTGGTGGGACCCTGCCCCCGGGGGCTCAGCCCCGCAACCGGCGCCGGGCGACGCTCCCGCGCGCATCCTGACCCCGTTTTTTCCCCCGCCGCCGGGGTCCACGCGCACCGGGGCAGCGGGCAGCGAGCGTGGGGCCGAGCGCCGCCGTGTGGGCTCGCTGGGTGGCCTTTGGCCTGCACGCCCCTCGGCGGAGGCTCAGCGTCCCGATCTGTAAAATGGGCGTGATAATAGCCCTTTGCGGGGCGGTTGAGAGCATTGAAGGATGCCTGGAGGCAGTGGGCAGAGACAGCGTGGCTGTCACTTGGCGGCACACCTCGGGCACGGGGCAGCGGCGGTCCCCTAGCCCCGGCAGTACGCCCCGTCCGCAGCCCCTGAGCCCGCTTCTCCCGCTTCCCCCGCTCGCAGCCCCGGCCCTGGACTCGGCGGCGCCCGGGGACCTGACGGACGCGCTGTGCGAATTCGACGCGGTGCTGGCCGACTTCGCGTCACCCTTCCACGAGCGCCACTTCCACTACGAGGAGCACCTGGAGCGCATGAAGCGGCGGAGCAGCGCCAGCGTCAGCGACAGCAGCGGCTTCAGCGACTCGGAGAGTGAGTGTGGCCGCAGCAGGGAAGGTGCCCGGAGCCCTGGGGACTCGGGTCCGCCGCCTACTGGGGGGAGTTCTGGGCTGACCGGAAGCGAGGGGAGGGGCCCAGCGGAGTAGCCCCGAAGCTGAGCCAAGGTCTGGGGCGCCCGCAGGGCGGAAGGCCCCCGGGGTTGGTCACGGGAAGGGGGCTTGGAAGGCAGGCGGGTCTCCCTGCCGCCGGAGGGCGTCGCAGGTGTCCCAAGGCCGGAGGGCTTAGGCAGGTCGCCCCGACTCAGCTGGGCAGGACCCCTGGGCCCACGCCAGGCCGTAACACAGTTCCCTCTCCTCCACCCACTCCTTCCCCCTTTTCCCCCTCGCAGCAGTGATCTTTCTGAGGCTGTGGAGCAAGTGCCACAGGAATCGGGGTGGGAGGGTATACGGGAGGGCACAATGCCCAACATTTTGTGAAACCAGGAAAGATTTCGTAAGCTGCTGTTCATGGGATTTTTAAAGTAATTTCTTGCACTTAGTTCTGGCCCAGAGCCCCCAGACTTCTGTTCCACTGCATGCACTTCTGAAAGAATCCCTGGCGCTGCTGAGTTCAAGTATTTTCTAAAATGTCCCTGGTCGGGCGGGCCCACACGGAGACTGTGCGGCTTTGACACTCCCTGCTCCCACCCTCTTACCCGCCGCCCCCCAGCACACACTCAGTCTGGAGGGGGAGCTAGAGAGCAGATGGGCACAGAGGACTTGCTTGGAAACTATTTGTAATGGAGACTACCCCAGGGTCTCTTTGTCCTAAACAACCTTTTAAGAAGAAAAACAACTTTTTTTTTTCTAGAACTCAAATGGCCTATAAAGATTATGGCTGTCTGTTTAGGTGTCAAACAACAAATTGGTGACTTTTCAATATGTCATTTTCAGTTTTCAAATCCTTATTACTTATTTTTCAAAGTGAGTTTTAAACTCTTCCCGGTTATTCTTGAGTCTTCACTCCCTAGGTAGGTCATAAGCCTGAATGTCACCCTCTTTGCTGCCCTTGACTCTGGAAGTAAAAACAATGGGCTTCCCTTGTGATTCTCTTTTTTTGAAAGTTGAAGCTCTTCCTTGTTACAGGGCAAAGATACAGTCCTAGACTTAATATGAGCTGTCCTCCTAAAAAGAGGTAAAGGGCCCTTGACACCCTGTTTGGAATTTGAGTCAGAAACTTGACTTCCAGCTTGACTTTCCTTGGTAGCCCTGGCCAAGCTTAGCTCTAATCGCAGCTTTTGAGGTGAAAGGGAATGGAACAGTGTGTTGTTAATTTTCTGTTTAGTATTTTTGGACTTTGTTGCTAATGACCAGACCGCTTATTTTCAATGTCAAAGGGTAGTCTAAACATTTTTGAAATTTGTCTCAATATCTGTGGCCAAACTTAAATATGGTTCCTTCTACTGGGGCAGGGAGCAAGTTACATCAAGTACACATTCTCTCCCCCACAGCAAAGAAAGCTGGGGCAACCTGTCCTGTGCTGCTCTACTGCAAAGAACAGCTCCTTTCTAAACCACAGCCATGTTTGGCTAGAATATGGTCTGAGCTCGCCCATTCCTGGGTGACTGCAACTCCTTCGGGTAGGATTTCATCTCTGGGATCTGTTTTCAGGGACCTCAAAGAGAAAGCACCCAAAACACATTCTTCACAGTTTTGGGGAAGATACTTGGAATAGTCTGTAGTTTTTCTTAGGGTATGTGTGCGGATATTGCTTTCTGCTCTTGTTGCTAACTGTTAAACCAATCCTTAGCTTGGTGGTTAGAGAAGTAATGTGGAGGGTATAAAGAAGGCTCAGATGACATTAATCTTTTCACTCAGCATGTAGTTTGCCCCCCACTAGACTGGTTAGAAATAGTCTTGATAGAAGTGGTGTGTATCTAAATAGTAATTACTTAAGGAAGCATAATATGTGTATCTTACCTGCTACTCAGAATTGAGCACAGACATTTGTTATACTCAGCTGTCTCTTTAATGCTTTCCTGTGGAAGAGAATGTTTGAGAGAGGTAGGTCTTACTGAAATTTACTCCACCAAAAGGGAGACATACCAGTATATTGATAATAAAAGCAGCTCACTCACCAAGCTTCTACTGTTGGGGAGGGGGGGTTACTATTATTATTTATGTATGAGCTCTTATTACCAGCGATCTCTTTGCTGTGCTTTCAGTGTGTTCTTGCACATGATCTCTACCACAATGCTATAACATAGGCACTGTTATCTCCATTTTTCTGTCAAAATGGCAGAACCACCTGGGCTCATTCTCTAAGGCCTTGCTCACCTGCCTGGCTTGGTGGAGCCCAGGCTGAGCCCTGTCAGGGCCCTGGGTGATGAGTGGTCCTCAGTTTCTTCAGCTGCAAAACTGAAAGGGTGCTATTTCGCAGTGCTGTTAGAAATACCCATTAAGCTCATAATTAGGAGGAAAATATTTGCTCTGTTTAATGCTTCCAGGAAAACACTAAAATGTGTATATATGTACCATGCTATATATCACATAGGTCAGACACATTTGAGTGAGTGTGTCACATGAAAGTGTTGTGTATGGAGCTACAAACCAGTGGCGCCCTCATTTCCACTCTCCCTTTTACAGCTCTCTCACTCTGAAGATGTGCCCACTTAACAAGACAGATCAAAACAGCATTCCTGGTTTTTGAAGAATCCTTCCTTTTCTCATTAAAAAAGAAATTTATGTTGCTTGCATCCAAAGGAGGAAAAAAGACATTCATTGTTTCACCAAAGAAGCAAGTTACTTAGATACAAGAGAGGAACAGATATTAATAATGAAATACTGATTCCTGTTCTCACAGGGAGTCCTAAGACATGAAGGGGGCCAATTTAACGATCCGGGATACCTTCCCATTAGGAGCAGCATTCAGCGTGGGGGTTGGCCCCAGTCAGCTTGTGTCTTTCCCTTAGGCTTGGTTTCTGACAGGTGATCTCAGGCCCTGTAGTGGGAGTAGTTTTACCATAGCAGTAAAAGGGCAGTGCGGTTAGGAGCTTCCAGAATTGTAAACATCTCAGGCAGGTTTAAACTTATTTTAAATAATATATTATTTTCTCAGTATTTTCAAAACTGAAGTCACACCATGATTTCTCAATTGTGTGTTTAATGAAAGTTTAACTCATAATTACTGAATTTTAACCAATGTGTTGATCATTTACATCTCCACTGATTGATTTTGTAAGAAGTTTGTAATATTAACTTGAACTTTAAAAGGTGGTATGAACTTACATCTTTTTTTTTAAATTAAGGTATCATTGATATATACACTCTTATGAAGGTTTCACAAGAAAAACAATGTGATTATTACATTCACCCTTATTACTGACTCCCCCCCATACCCCACTGCAGTCACTGTCCATCGGTGTAGTAAGATATGAACTTACATCTTTGCTGTGCTGGGGTTTCACATGCCTTTTTGTCCCTTTGATGGGGGGAATGTTTTGTTACTTAACAGAAAAGATCTGAAGTCTACTGTGCATGATAGGGCTATTACAATACTGTAGGACCATTTTAGGGAATGAGAAGCTGGTTTCTTTAACATGTGTAAGACCTAGAATGTCTGTGTATCTTCACCTAGACTCTCCCAGCAAGGCGCTGGTAGAGGGGACCTAATGGACCTGGTGCCAGCAGGACCTGGTGCCAGCAGGACCCAATATTGGCTGATTGGGCAGGAGCTGCTGAGACTAGAACCTGAACTTGTTCTAGCCCTGGGAAAATGAAGAGTTAGTACCCCTCAGGCGGCTCTGGTACTGGGTCAGGAATTCCAGGTGGCTGACAGGTTTTGCTCTGATGGACACCTGCAGAGGCATCCAGAGGGACACACACACACACACACACACACACACACACAATCATTCCGTGTGGCAAAAGGAAAGCAGGTCTAAAGCTTTCTTTTTCCCAGTTAATTACTATAGTTTGCTTGCCTTAAATATGTGGGATTGTTCTATATTTACAGGACCTCTGGGCAAGGCTCACTGTGGTTTTACTTCCCTCTGGAGTACGTGGTGGTGCTAACCCTAAATTACCTTTCTCCCCACCCCCTACTAAAGAAGCATATCTGTCTTTTAAACAAGCCTCTGTTTTTGCAGCTGAATTTCTCAAGCTCTGTTGGTGGTCTTAAAGTCAGATGTTTGTATATTTAATATGCTTAATTTCTCTTGATGGTGTCTTCAAAAAGTTGGTCCTAAATTGGAGGTTCCTGGCTTCAGCACACTAAAACTTGCCAACTACCTTTCTAATATCTCAAAGGGGCTTTGAGATGCTTGTGAGATGGGGCTTTAGAAACTGATAAAGTCGACGTTGTAGAGCCCTAAATATCTAGTCTTGTCATCTGTCAAGGTTCCCCAAATCATCACTGTTATGTGTCCCTTGAGCCCCTATTAGCAGCACCTGCTTTGGGGTGGGGCACTGATACATTAGTATGCTGTCAGCCACCAACACATTGCTGGGCTTTTATCAGACCGACTGGTTGTTATTTTGCACGGACTAGAGTTCCAAGGGAGTGAAAGGACAGAAAGTCAGGCTCTGCGTGCTTTTTAATCCAGCACACCACCTAGCATGAGCTCTCATTCATTGTAGGGGCTTAGCAGAAGTCTGTGGAATGAAACACTGTTGGATAAAGGGTGGAGAAGACTAGAGTGTGCTTTACTCATGTTGGTGGTTTGTTCTAGGGCGCTTCTAAAGAGAAACTGCCTTTAGGAACTTTGCTACTATCTGAAGAAGAGGAGGAAGCCTGGGCTCAGAATCTTGATTCTTATCATTCTCTGTGGTGACCTTTCCTCTTCTGGAAATATCATCCTCCATTTAGCCAGAAGTTTGAGAATAAAATGATGAAAACTGTAGGTATCATACATGGAGCAAATAGGTTACTATTCCGCTTCTGCAAGAGAAGAAATGAAGGCTCTGAGGCCACTTCTCCTGCGTGTCTCTGTGAGGCAGCTTCTCCTGGGTCCAAGGTACCTTAGGGCTCTCGAGGGTGTCCTTTTCACCTTGTTCATGAATTATGCGAATATTACCACAGGGTGGAACTCAGATGTGGGCAGGGTTGGCTCTGGATGCTGAGGCATTCATTTCCTCTTAATGGCTGGCTGAACATTTTGGAGCCTGAAGTCAGGTCTGGACCAGATGTGCACTGGAACTCATAGAAAGAGGAATTAAGGTGTGGCAGTGACACAATATGCGAGCTAATGTGTACTTGTGAGTGTGTGTGTGCGCGTGGTTGAGGGGGGCAGGAGCATGGGGGGAGAGAGGGCAGGTGGGGAAGTGAACATATGCTATGTTGACATGCCTCTGTGTGGTGTATGTGTGTTTGTATATATATATATATAGATACTGATATTGTAACTAGTGTTTTTTTCTCTCCTTCATTGTGGGAGTAACATGTTTATTAGCAGTAAGAGGCAACTTTCAATTATTTTAATACTTGGGTTTGCAACTGAATTTATCAGTCCAATAACAGTCAATTTGTCTATGTATTGTGAGTTTGGAAAAAATACTGGGATCAAAAAAGCATTTTTTGCAATGGTGTTTCTTTGCCTAGATTATTCCTCCCCTAAAACCCAATGACATTTGGTCTACTTGCCTGTAAAGTAAAATTGTGTGTGTTTTCTGCCTCCTAAAGGATGAGTATATGTGGAGCCTCAGCCTGGGCTGGCTGGTGTTTCAATTGCTGGAGAGTTGGGGCAGAATAGGGGTGCAGTCCACAGGCAGGGCATGGGCTGTGGTGCAGGCTGGAGTTGGGGGAGGTGTGGTGGTGAAACTGGCTCTCCAGGGCCACCTGCTTCAGGGAGATAGAGACCAAAGGCGTGGCCACCAGGATCTGGGCCCATGAGTCTCTGGGTTTGGCATTCTGTGCCGGTGATGGGGTGATGCTCTCAGCTGTCCTTTAGAGCCAGAAGGGATGTGCCAAAGACCTTGTATTCTTTCCTTCCGGCTCAGGAGTGTGGACACAGGCCTGCCTCCCCAGGGCCCTCTGTGGTTTTCCTGCTCTAAGTCTCACCTCATCTTTTCCTCACAAGTTTCTCAGTTTCTATTTGTGGAGATTCTCCTCCTTCTTGAGTGGTGGCAAACAGTGACACTCTGCTGTGGGTGTACAATAGACTGGCCACTTCCTATATGTAGGGGAAAGGCTGTCCCTTGGGAAAATCCAGACTGCTCTAGAGGTGGGCTTGGCTGACATGGCAAACAGGCAGAGGGGCTTCTCAAGTTGGGTTCCACTGAGTACAAGTGTCCTGAGAAATCTTACAAGGGTGCTACACAAAAAAGTATCCCATGGTTAAGTGAGCTTGGGAAATAGGGCTAAGTGGGTTTCTCTATGACAAGGCTTCTCGGGGGGACTTCTAAAGTGGGAATATACAATAGGAATCTCTAGGAGTCCTTGGAGTTTCTCAAATTTAGTTAATTCTTCTTTCAAAGGATCAGTATTTTAGGGAATATATTTTTGAGGAAAGGTAAGTGTGAGGTTCAGTATTTCGGATCTCTGTAGGTGTTCATCATTGAACTGAAAAACGATTGTGGTTCTTTTAGGTGACTTGAGCTAGACCTCTGAAGGAAGAAAAGATTGTGAGGATTGGGCTGGGAAAAGTGGATGACGGGTGTGTAGGCCAGGAAGACAACGTGGCATAGGGGCCTCCGGATTGGAGGAGGGAGGCAAGAAGGGAGCCAGGTGCCGTGTCAGAGCACTTGTAGCAGTCTTTTATATGAATTCTCTTGGGACCAGAAACATGTGCTTCTGAAAACCCTTTTTATTCTGGCATATCCTTTGTAACTTAGTCATTCATTTTGAGTTAAGGGGAACAAAAAAAAGATATTTTTGCTCTCTCCTGAGCTGGAGGTAATTGGATAAAAGTGAGTGAATCCAAAGAGAAGCAGGGCCCGGCCAGGCCTTCCTGGTTCAGCTGCCCCTTTTGCGCCTGAGCAGCCTCTCCAGAGCTCATCTGAGCCTCAGCCTGGGCTGGCTTGGTGTTTCGCTTTAACCAGGAAGACTGTTCCTTCTGACCTCAGAGGCCACATCCTGCTTCCACCGCCTGCTCTGCCTTTGAGATCTTTGAGTCAATGCTGCTCAACCAGCAGCTCCTTTCTTGTCACAGCCACATGGCTGGGCTCACTGAGGTTTGGTTTCCTCCCCACTGACAGGCCTTAAAGAAATAGAATCACAGACCTTCAGAGCTGGAAGGACTTTAAGGATTATTTAGCCCATCTTCCCATGATATTGATGGGTAAGCTGAGGCCAGAGATGCTGTCTTGTGCAAGGGCACGCAAGTCCTTAGGAGCTTGAGCTGGTTCCCTAAGTGCCCAGTGCCACCCTGCTCTGGAAGCTTGCCTGGCTCTCCCTCTGGTCTTTAGGGGCATGACAACACAGGAAGCCATGGAGCCCCTTGAAGTGTCTGTAATGGACAACCTCCAGGAGAAAATGTCTTTAAGTTGGGCGCTCTAGCTTATCCCCAGAATGTAAGCTTTCAGGGAGACCATGATGAAGACTCTCTCTTGAGCAGGCAGAGAGGATTAAGTCCTGGGACCCGACCTTTTGTTTCTATTTTAGGGGGTTATGAGGGTAGAAGGGACATTTTTCAGGAAGGGTGATTCCTTATGTCTAAAATCCCAAGCCAGGAGCCATCCACCAAGCACTGACTTAGCTGTCATTAGGCAGTAGCTCCTCCTGTGTGTTGCAAAGGGGGCTGGTCTGGTCATGATGGTCCTATCACACCCCTCTTTTTTTAGGGGAGCAGGGGCCTTAGGTATGCCTGAGTGGAGACACACACTCACACGCATACAGAGGCACACTCTCCTACCGCAAATCATTTTGGGGCATAAATATAAAATCTGGAAATCAACTTATTTTCTTTACAACTGTGTTCTTGTTCGAAATAAGCTGTTGGTTATCAAGAGACTATAGACTGAAAACTTTCTAATGAGTTGTTTTCTCTCCTGAAAGGTGCAGAATCACTTTATAGGAATAGCTTCAGCTTCAGTGATGAAAAACTGAATTCTCCATCAGACTCCACTCCAGCTCTGCTCTCTCCCACAATCACTCCTCGGAAAGGTGAGTCCAGAGGGAGTGTGAGGGGTTTTTTGCTTCCTTATGCCTTTCTCCTTCTCAGTTTCGTCTGCTGTCACCCTTATTGCTAACTGGTCTTTCCCAAATGTGCAAAACAAATAGATGAGATTATTATCTTAGTACAGTTCACTGAGAAGTGGAATTTGTTATTAGCATTTTGATCAGTGTGGAAATGAATTCAGGTAACTGGGGGGCAGGAAGCCACATTCATAGGGAGAAAGAAACCCTGTAGACTCAAGACTCTACTTTCTTTGTGGTATAATCAAGACTGTGCCAACCAGACTGGTTGGATCTGGAAGCTAAAACTCAGCAGTTAGGCTTTGCAGAAAGTAGGATCCATTTGATTGCATCAACTATTTTCTTGATGCTTTCAGATGACCAATTTAGCAATTATGTGGGGAAATCATTATTTCACAAGCAATGATCTAACATGATTCAAAATAGCAGCTCCAGCCTGTTTCTCCTGTGATATTAATAGACCTAAACCAGTTTTAAAGATTTATGAGCAGCTTCTCATTTTTTGGAACTAATATAGTGTCTCCAGCTAGAGAGCTGAATGTTCTGTTATTTTGGACAAATGCCCTTTTGAAAATAGAAAGAGTTTTTTCCTTAAGAAACATTATACTTGCTGAAAATAGTTGCAGAATACAATAAATATGGAACATAATTAAAAAGAAATATGAAGATTCTGTCACTTTTCTCTGACAGTTAGGCAGAATTTCCCTCTTTTTCAAAAGAGCTATTTTAAAAGTCTCCTCTCAACATAGCAATGTTAGCAGCCACTGGGGACTCTGCCATTGTCCAGCCCTCTGTCTATAATGAATCTATTGAATTCAGAGAGACAGAGCAGTCTAGAAAGTGGTTTAAAAGGTGCTCCGAATTGCTACGTGATCCTGCTTTTCGGTAGCGGTAGAAATTAAAGAGTGGAAAGAACCCTATGACAAACTGACTTGAAAAACTGAGAATAATGAGCTATATGCAGCCAGCAGGGGTTCATGAAAATAGGAAGTAGTGCATTTCAGAGAAGGCATGAATGATGACCTCTCCAGAAAAATGTAGATATACAGAAAAAAGTATGTATCTCAGGGTGTAGAGAGAACAGTCAGGGTAAGGATTTCATACTTTGGGTTGGCACCTGGGTGGGAAGAGGTTGTTTGGGACCCGCAAGCCTAAGGTCTTCTTCCCTGTACCATTTTGGTGAGGAACACTACCGGCTCACCATTCGTTGCCTGCTGTCGGGCCTCGGATGGGGCAGTGTTTGATAGCACAACAAGAACACATCAGAGGACAGGGTTAGCAGGACTTAACGGGCTCTGGGCGTCCATTCTGCACAGCGCCGTGCTTGCTGAGTGTTTTTGACTGATAAATCTTACACAATTGAGAACTCAAAACTTTTAATCTTCCTTCCCTGTCCCTCACTCTCCCTCATCAAACTTTAAGACAGTGAAGGGAGATTCTTTTTCCAGTTTGCTGGGGTGGGGCTTGGGGGTGGGAGAGGGGATGGCGAACTAAACTAGAATGAAACATTTAAACTTGTCTTCTGAATACATTTCTAAGTTGACTGTAAGTAAAAATTGAAGCAGACACCTAGTTGATACAGGACACTCAATAAAATTTCTGGAGAGAGGTGCAAAATGGGCTCACATAATCCTGGGAAATATGGGAGTCATCTGTTGTCTTTGATATGGAAACTGGACTCCAACTCTTGTTTTTCAGCCAAACTAGGAGACACAAAAGAGCTAGAAGACTTTATTGCTGATCTTGACAGAACATTAGCAAGTGAGTACATGCCTGGTATTAAAAAAATCAAAGAGAAAACCAGCTCTTCTGATAAAGTGCTCTAACGTTTACCAGCTTGCCCTGGGGGGGTGTGGGAAGTTACACCATGAGGGTTTTTTAGGTTCAGAAACAGGACCCTAGTGGCTAAGAAAGAAATTCTGAGAATAAGCTTGGGTTAAAATAGATCATGTGCCTTCCCAAACAGTGAGAACAGGCACCAGCAAATAATGGCATTTTGTTTGGAAAATGGAGATTAAAGTAGCAGTTAGAACAAGGTTGGAGCTTTGCCATCATGGTGGCCTGCTGGGCTTTTCAGAGAAGTGAGCCAGTTGACCACACCAGCATTATGCTGACCAGCCAGAGGGTTCTGTCCCATGGTGGAGAAATTTTCCTAGGTTTGGTGAGGTCTGACTTCTAGAGGGTTGGGTCCCAACAGTGAGAATTGGTCTGGGGAGTCCTTGTAACCAAAAATCCATGCAAATTATTGAAAGACCTGCATTAAGTTAGGCAATGCCTTGATTCCCATTTAGCACTTACGCTGATGGTTCTCTGTTTGTTTTGTGTGCTGGGAACTGTAGATATTAGATCCTAACTGCAGTGGGGGGTCTAGAAGAAGGTACCCTAGGAATCAGTCAACATACCCTTTTTCAAAAGGACAGGATTGCAAAACCAGAAGGATCAGCTATCCCTTCTGGGATAAAAATTTCAGCAACTCTGTTCTTGGGGGGCCTTGTGCAGTACCAGAGCAGGCTTGGAGAATTGTGTCCTAGCCTCTTAATTTTTCAATGAAAGAGTTGATTTTGCATAAGAAATATTTTTTGCTATACTCTGCAGGTAAAATCTGAAAAATTAAGTCCAGAGCTTGTTATTGAAAATAACTCTTCTTAATATTCTTTTAGACAGATTTAAATACTAGGTAGAAAGTTCTTGTGTGTTCTATGTTCACTTGAAGATTTTATTGCCCATTTTATTACATGCTCTGCCATCCTGCATCACAAGTCCAAAGCCTATTTTGACAGAGAATATTGTAATTGCAGCACAATTTGTATTTGACCCATGTAACAAGCTTGTCTACTTCATGGAAGTCGTAGCTGGTTGTCCAGTCATACAAGTTGATCAAACATCCATTATGTAGGAAGCCTTCCATTAAGTTTGGTGCTTTGATACCTGTCTGAGAGTGGATAACCTTATTTATCTCCTACTTACAGGTATGTGAAACAAGGAGAAGCTCTGGGTCCTTTCATCATAAGGGAAAAGCTTCAGAAAACTCTAAGCACCCAGTAAAATCGGCTGTAGAATTTGCTGCTGGAGGGGACAGACATGAGAGCTCACCTACCACCAGGCCATTCTCAGGCTTATCCTAAAACCAGCCTTTAGACTTAGCTCTGGGCAGTTTAGACAGTGAAACTGACTTTTTTACCTGCTTGCAGCATATTAGAACAACCCATACTAATATTGTATTTTCTCTTAAAACATAGCTTTCCTGTAATTTAAAGTGCTTTAATGAAATATTTGTAATTAATTATGTATAGTTGGAAACAGTAATATGCTTTTCCCAGTATAATATATTTTTGTATGCAAATAAAATTTGAACTGGAGTCTATATTCTGTAAGCTTCCATTTTTTCCGTCCTTATATCTTTCAAGATGTTTCCATTCAAATACTATTCTAGTGGCAAATAACACACCTTTTGACTTCTAACAAGAACCTTTGGTGCTGCCAAATATGATTTTAAGAAAGTGTTGCTTTGAAACTCGTTCAGCACTCTAGAGGGAAATTTTGGCATATGATTAATGGGAAATTTTAATTTGAGGATTATGGTTTTAATGGAAGTTGGGTTTCTCTTCTATCTCCACTCTCCTCACATCTTAGCACCTTTTAAGTGCCATGGACTCTTTTCTTAGAGGAAATACCAGTTGTAGTAAAAAACCAGGACTTAAATATGAGGGAAGGTTGGGGCAGCCAGCGGACTTAATGATGGTGTGCTTGTAAGACCTGGGTGTAAAGGAAGATTTGATGGTGCTGGCTTTGGCGCTCATGTTCAGGTGGTATCAGTGGGGCAGGAGGGTCCAAACACAAGGCCTTCCATAGGGTGGACTTTGCATGTAGAAGCCAGTGACGCCTTCTCCCACCCACCTTCGTGGAGGATAGGGAGAGGCATAAAAACAGGACAGTTCATAATTTTCTTATCTATGCTTTTCTATCATTAAAACTTTAAAATAACTAGGCCTTACTTTGGTAATAGGAATTAAGTTATTTAAAAACTCCAATCCTTATGTCTCTATAGGACACAAAGCCAAAACATAACTGCTTTATAATTATATTTATATCTTAAAAAGTGAACTATTATATTTGTCCTGGTTTTTTAAGGAACTGGAAAACTGAATGGTCTTTTCAAACCTTTCATTTTTCCCAAGTGTCTGGGAAAGGTTTGATTGACTCCAAATATTTTATTTCTTTATTGAGATATAATTCACATAATCTAACATTCATCCTTTTAAAGCTTCCAATTCAGTGGTTTGTAGCAAATTCACAGAGTTTTGCAACCATCACCACTAAATAATTCTATGTTTCTATGGATTTGTCCCTTCTGGATATTTCGTAAAATGGAATCATACAATATGTGGCCTTCCATGCCAAACTTCTGTCGCTTAGCATTCTGTTTTCAAAGTCCATCCATGTTGTATATGAATCAGTATTCATTACTTTTTATGACTGACTAAATAATCTGCTGTATGGATACACCATAGTTTGTTTATCCATTTATTGGCTGAGGGACATTTGTGTTGTTTGTATTTTTTTGGCTAATGAATAATGCTGTTATGAAGATTCACTTATAAGTTTTTGTGTGGGCATATTCTTTTCATTTCTCCTGGGTCTATAACAAGGAGTGGAATTGCTAGGTAATGCGATAATTCTGTGTTTAACTTTTTGATGAGTTGCCAAACTTTTTCATAGCAGCTGCATTATTTTACTGATTTACAGCTGCAACATATGAGAGTCTCAGTTTCTCCATATCCTTGTTGACACTTGTAATTGTCCACTTTTTGGAATATAGCCATCCTAGTGGCTGTAGAGTGATACTTTATTGTGGTTTTGATTTGTATTTACCTGATGACTAATGAGTTGAGCATCTTTTTTTGTACTTATTGGAGAAATGTCTCTTCAAATCCTTTGCCATTTTAAAAGGCTGTCTTTTTTTTGTTGAGTTGTAGGAATTTTCTATGTGTTCTGTACACAAGTCCCTTATCAGACACATTTTTGATTTGCAAGTATTTTCTGCTTTTTGTAGGTTTTCTTCAATTTTTGTTAGTGCCCTTTAAAGTACAAAGTTCTAAATTTTTATGAAGTCCAATTTATCTGCTTTTCTTTTGTCACTGTGCTTTTAATGTCATATGTAAGAAACCATTACCTAATTCAAGAGTTACTCATGTTTCCTTTTATACAAATCTTACACTTAGGTCTTTGACGTCCTTTGTATTAATTTTCGTATATGACATGAAGTAGGGATCCAGCTCCATTCTTTTGCATGTAAATATCCAATTGTCATAACATTTTTTGTTGAAAAGACTATTTTTTCCCCCATTGAACTGTGTTGGCACCCTTGTTGCAAGATCAATTGACTATAAATGTGTGGGGCTTATTTATGGACTCAATTCCATTTTGGTGATCAATATATCTATCTTTATTCTAGTACCACACAGTCTTATTACTATAGCTTTACAGTAAGTTTTGAAATCAGGAATTGTGAGTCCTTCTGCAAGATACTATTGGCTGTTCTGGGTTTCTTGCATTTTCATTTAAATTTTAGGGTCAGCTTGTCAATTTCTGCAAAAAAAGGCAGCTGGAATTTTCATAGAGATTGCATTGACTTTATATTGGTTTGGGGAGTATTGCCTCTGTAGCAATATTAAGCCTTCCTTCCAGTTTATGAACATGAAATGTGTTTCAGTTTGTTTAGGTCTTCTTAATTTCTTTCAACTATGTTTTGTAGTTTTCAATGTATGAATCTTGCACTTCCTCTGTCAAATTTATTCCTAAGTATTTTACTCTTTTTGATGCTGTTGTAAATGTAACTGTTTTCTTGATTTTATTTTCAGGTTGTTCCTTGCTAGTGTATACACTTGATTTTTGTATATTGATTTTGTATTTTACGACCTTGTTGTATTTATTAGTTTTGATAGGTTTTTTTCTTTTTGTGGATTCTATATACAAAATCATACCATTTGCAAATAGAAATAATATTTACTTCTTCCTTTCCAATCTGAATGCCTTTTTAATTCTTTCTGTTGCCTCATTACCCTGGATAGAGCTTCCAGTATAGCATTGAAAAGACACAGTGAAAGGGCACATCCTAGTCTTGTCCTTGATCTTGGAGGAAAAGCTTATAGTCTTTCACTATTAAGTATGATGTTAACTGTGGGAATATTTTCTTTTTTTAATCAAATGAGCCATTGACTTGTTTTCTAAACATATTGTTTTCCTTACCTGGAACTGTCTCTTGTTCATGTTTAGGCATCTTTATCTGCTTTGGATAAATCTCTTTTCACCAGGACACTAGTGGCTATTGACTGTCATTATAACTTTTATTACTGGCCTCTTCTGGAATTGAGTATCTATCTGCATTTTGGCAGCTCTTTCTTTATGATCTCCTGGAACCTGGACTCCAAAAGTTAGAAGCCCAAGATAAGTAGCTTTGTGGCCTGTTATGGGGTTAAGGTCAGTGGTTTGGGGAAAAGAAGTAGATTCCCATTTAGGGAAGTATTGGGGCAAGGGTAGTTTGTGCTGGATAAACCTTTGGTGGATGCATAACTAAGGACAAGCAGGCTGTGGGCTGAGTCAGAGCTTGGGGCTCTGGGAATGTTGAAATAAGTGCTACCATTGTTTTCAAGATACACTTCAAGGTGCACATTGCTAAACTGTTTTGAAAAACAGGTGTTAAGGTCATGTGTGCTTGAAAAGTGCTGCATAATAGGTACCCCACTTAGAGATTTTTTTATGTACGTTAGTACATAAGTTACTTAGGGTTCAATCAAAGTTGATGGATCAGAGAACTCAAAATATAGTGGCTTAAGCAAGATGGAAGTTTCTCACTAACACCTCTGAGGTGAGCAGTTCAGGGCTGGGTGAGTGGCTGTCTTGTCCAAAGTGGCTGCTCATGTTCTTGTCATCACATTTATATCCCAGCCAGCATAAAGGGAAAAAGGCTAGTCAAGCACAAGCTTGTTTTTCAATGACATGACTAAAGGGAACACAAATCACTTCTTTTGCTCATCCCCTTGTCTAGATCTCAGTCAAATGCTCATTCCCAGCTGCAAGGGGTGCTTGGAAAAAAAGTCTCTTGCTGGGCAGATATGTGCTCCACTTAAATGTGAGAGCTCTGTTGCTAAAGAAAGACAAAGAGAATGGGTACAGGAGAATAACCAGTCATCTCTGCTGCAGAACAACAAAAGCTTTGAGAAATCCTGGGGCCAAAGGACATACTCTTTTTCTTTTTTTTTTTTTTGGTGGGTAAAGCTACCAATAATCCACAACATGTTAGAGTTTCTTGGCCGTGGCTGGGAGGTGCCGCTGCAGGTACTCTCACTGCAGGGGGGTCTACTACACTTCATCTCCTTTAAGACCTGAGTGCTGACAGCATGGCTCTTGCAAACTGCTTGATTGATATGTGGAGAGTGTCAGCCAGTGGGGCTTTTCTGGAACAGAACAAGACAAGATATTGAGTATATAGAGCTGGTAGGATGTGACTAGTATGGTTTTGAATTCGGGAATTTTCTCTTCTAACTTATGGGAGAAATAGCTGAAGCAAAGCAGAACAAAACAAAGCATGTGACACATGCTCAGAGTGAGGGGCTCAGGTGCCAGCCTAAATATTCACACAGCAGCCAGCCTTGGGTGGAACAGAGGGACCAGTGGGGACCTCTTCTCAGGGATTCTGACAGAGGCTGGCTACAGGGTACATCTGCCCTAAGTGTGAGAAGGGACGTCTGAGCTGAGGGGCAGAAGGTGGTGATGGGGGCCCTGAGGAGGTCTCTCTGCAGAGATATCCCTCTGGGTGGGGATAGAGAAAAGGGGGAGAAAGCAGGCTTTCAAACTAGACCAGGTTAAACTCCTACCTTGCCACTCTGTCTGGGTGACCTTGGGTAAGTTCACATTCCTCTCAGAGGTTCTGTTTCCTCATTGATAAAGTGAGGGTGTGAGTCCTTATCTCCGGGGTCATTGCGAAGATCAATTATAGAAGATGTGCCTCTTTGAAAAGCAGATGGGACATTTTTCTTGGTTGCTCCATATGTATCTCTTCCACACCCTTCTCCAAAATGTTTTCCTGTGCTAATTTATTTGTCTAAGAAGGTTTGTGGTGACAGATACCAAACAGGAAATGGCTGTCATAGCTGCTGTCTGCAACTTTTGTTTTTTTAAGGCTTTCTTCTGCACAGCTCACCTACTCTGTGTCACTTGGTATTGATTTAAGTGCAGGGCTAAGTGGAAGGGGAAAGGGAAAGGGAAGCACATTTTTAGAAGAGAACATTTTCCTTCAAGTTCAAAGTTTACTGAAGGTTAAGAATTATGCAAAATGGCAGTATTGGATGGCTTCTTTCACCA